AAAACATGGCAATGGCGCACGTAATTTACCTTACATCAGTAGCAAAATGACTGAAGCCAAGATTGTCTTTAAACAAATATAAATAGATAAAGAAAGAAAGCATGTTCACTTTTAAGTCTTATAAAAAATAAAATTTCGTTGATAACCTTATGTTTTCTGTTTTGAAAATAAAAACGCTTTGATCGGGAATAAAAGCAATTTTATAAATAAATTGTAGTAATTCTTACAATTTTTTAAATAATTTGCTTTTTCCCTCAGCAGACACTTAGCAGCTGTTTAACTTGAAAATAAGCATAAGGTCAAAACATGAATAAATAGTTCATTTAGCAAAGGTCCAAAGTACCGGCAGCTGATATTAATATAATTTCCAATGTGTGTGTATTGAGCACATCCTAAATTAAACCGATATTCATATTGAAAACAAGATTGGAAATTAGACACACAAACCACAAATAAATGACGCACCTGCAGATCTGTTATTTTTCTTTGGAAACTTAATACAAATTCGACTGTTAATAAGGGAGATTATCTTATCTATCCATGTAGCTTTAATAATAATAATAATAATAATAATAATAATAATAATCCCTGGAACAGAAGCGAGTGAAACAGATGATCCGAAATATTATAGGCCAATAATATGTCTCTCCACCATGTATAAGTTGATCATGTCTGTCCTCATGAACTGCACTTACTCTTTTTTCGAAGCAAATATTCTTCCAATGGAACAGAAGGGATGCAGAAGAGCTTCATATGGTTGCAAAGATCAACAGTTTATAAACAAAATGATCCTGGAAAATTGCAGGAAAAGAGGTAGAAATCTCAGCACAGCATGTATAGATTGCCGTAAATTGTTTGATAGTGTACCATAATTTTGGATTCTTAAGATTTCATTAATGAATTTAATGGGATCGTGAAAAATAGCGAGCTGGTTAAAAAAGAAAAACAAAAAAAACAAAAAACAAAAACAGAATATCAGCCTAAACAGTTTCAAAGTCCTTAACTGGACCCTAGCTAAAATTAAGGGAAGGGACGCCAAAACGAGAAAACTTCTCAATTGCCATGTATGCATCATCCGAAGGCTGATATTGATAGTCTGTATGTGTCCAGATCCAAAGGAGGCAGAGGATTAGTTCAACTTGAACTGTCTTACAAAACGACAACAATCGACCTTCAAAGATAAATGGAAACTACAGAAAACTGGATGATGATCTGCGTCAAAGAACACGAAAGAAATAAGAAAATTTATTCAGTAATAAAGGAAGCCAAATTCAAAATGGAGATTCAAGTGGGTGAAAAAATGCAAGTATATCATAATACACCAACTGCAGCTACAAAATACATAAATAAGTAAGCAAATACAACTGCAATCGACCAGATACAGATACGATGAAAAGATAAACCACTACATGGACAACAGTCTGCCTGTACCAAACATGGTGATGTAGACAAACGCCGTACCCATCAGTGGTTACGTAGTGCAGTGTTAAAAGCTGAAAACGAAGGGTTTATACTTGCTACACAGGACCAATGATTGCTGACTAGAAATTACCAAGCACATATACTGCAAACTATGTTAGGCGAAAATGGAGATTCTCTGATAAATATCCAGAAACAATTGACCATCTTGTATCAAGTTACGTGGTATTGGCATTCACTGAATATATAATCCGGCATGTCAGATTGGCTTAATATCTGCATTGGAAAGTATGCAACTTTTACGGAAAGGAAAATGCAAGAAATTGGCATGATCACCACTCAGGCCCGGTTACGGAGATAGGACCTGTAACAATTTTATGTGACTTTACATTACACACAAACAGAATGATCAAATCTAATCGCCTAGACATCGTGATCAGAGACCGCAAAGAGAAAATGTGCCTTCTTATTGACACAGCAGTCCCTCATCAACAATTCCAGTTGTAGTTGGAGCCCTCGGATTGATTGGCAAAGGTTCTAATAGACTCATTGAAGGGATTCCTGTTAGCCCATGCCTTAAAGAATTACCAAAAATTATTCTCACAATTACAGTGCTCTGCTTAGGAACGTCTTTATCAATGTAAAATATGTGTGAGCTTTTTTTCTTTTTTTCCAAAAATGCTTAGTGAAAGGTGAGCTTTTTTTATTATTATTACAAAATGCTTTGTGGAGAATGTCATGATGCCCTTTCTGACGTTAGATCTCTAATTGGGACCCGGAAAGAAATGAGTGCACACTAGAAATCAAAGGAAATAATAATAATAATAATAATAATAATAATAATAATAATAATAATAATAAAATAAAAATAATAATAATCTCAAAGAGATACAGAAAATTGTTCTCACAAGTACAGCTCACAATTTACGAAGGGCTTTATCTATGTAATATTATTTTTTGCAGTGGAAAGTACCATGATACCATTTCTAACCTTAGGTCCAGGGTCTGGACCCGGAAAGAAATGCGTAAACACCAGAATTCAAAGGAAATAATAATAATAATAATAATAATAATAATAATAATTTATTTAATCATTTAACCTCAAGCAAGAGGACAGTGCCACTAAGACTCAAGCGGCTACTAGGAGGGAAAAACAATGAGAAGTCTTTAGAATGAACACGAAAACCAATTGTAAACATGAGACAAGGGATAAACCTCTACCTCTGTTCTCTAGACGGTGAAGGTGTTTCAATCGGGCGATAAGCTAAGCTATCTCCTCCTTTGAATAATAATAATAATAATAATAATAATAATAATTTTTTTTTTTTTTTTTGTCAGTGATGACGCCATTTCTAACCTTAGGTCCCTGGGCGGGACCCGGAAAGAAATGTGTAAACGCCAGAAATCAAAGATAATAATAATAATAATAATAATAATAATAATAATAATCGGTAGTTAAATCTGCTTAGGATTCGTATCCATATACTTGGGAAGACGTTCAATCGGACGGGGTCACCCAACTTGAAGTTAAATCTAAATACTTACAAAAGATGTAAAATACTGCACTCTGTGAAAATGTCTCATCTACTCGGAAGATTATTATCAATGAAAAAAATATATAACCATTAGAGAAGTTAGGTCTATCTTAACATCAGAATTTATGCAAACAAAACGTATATATTTACTGGCTTGGCTTAGCTCAAGTCTTCTTTAATGACTCGATAAAGAATTGCCCTAAATAGGGAGGAAAATAATAATAATAATAATAATAATAATAATAATAATAATAATAACAAATATGAAAAAGAAAGCCAAGGATAAATCTCATGAACAGATGAAACAATGCTGGCAAGACAAACCTCTGCATGGCCAATAACCAAAATGTTATAATAAAGCCTATGTTTGATAAAGGTAACACTCATCGATGGCTACGAGCAAATGGATTAAAAGCTGAAACGCAAGGCTTTATTGTTGCAGCGCAAGAGCAGAGTCTTTTCAATGGAAACTTTCAAGCTAATATCGTACAAAATATTATGGATCCAAAGTACAGGTTCTGTGACTAATATCCGGAAACCATAGACCATATAATCTCAGGATGTTCTGTACTAGCGCCAAATGAATATAAAAATTGAAATGAATATAAATTAGAGAGTTGAGCATTATTTACGCTGTATATATATATATATATATATATATATATATATATATATATATATATATATATGTTAGCTATCACTGATTTGTCTATATTTCTGAGATGAGGTATTATGTACAGTATTTACATTAGTCGGACTATTGTCCTCATCTTTGTCGCCATATTTGTCACAAACGTTTCCAACCACCTGAAGAAGGCCGGAGCGTACAACGGCCGAAACGTTGTGACAAATATGGCGACAAAGATGAGGACAATAGTCCGACTAATGTAAATACTGTCTATCACTGATATTGAGCGCTTTCGAATAAGTACTGCATTTTATATATATATATATATATATATATATATATATATATATATATATATATATATATATATATATTTACAGATATATATATGTATATATATGTATAAATTACAAATATATATATATATATATATAAATATAAATATAATATTATACATATATATATATATATATACATATATATGTGCATATATATATATACGTATGCATATATATATATTTATACATATATATATATTTATGTATATATATTTATATATATATTTACATATATATATATGTATAGATATGTATAAATTAAAAAAATATATATATATATTATACATATATATACATATTATACGTATATATGTATATATATATATATATATGTATATATATATATATATTTATATTAACATATTAACATTAAAACACCATAATTGTATATAAGGATTTTTGTTTGTTTTTTCCGTATATATTTTTTTTCATATATATATATATATATATATATATATATATATATATATATATATATATATATATATATAATAATTTTAATTGCTCGGTCACTTGCAAAATTACCTCTCCAACCTGACACCTGTTTCTTCCTGCCGCCACTGCGTTTGCCCCTCTCCCTGAGCGCTGTCTTCTTTCAATTGCTTACTCACTTCTATTCATCTGAAAACACAAGCCGATTTCTTACTCTTGCTTGAACACAGATGGGACCTTATAGGAAATTTATTAGAAAACGACCCAAACTAAATACACAAAGAAAAAATAACGAAAGTAATCCTGAATAAAAACTAGAACACAAAATGACTTCAAAGGTAGGTTGTTGCAAAATTATGAATGGAGATTAAGGACAAAAATTAAATTACGAAATAAACGATAAAAAAAATAATTAAAATAGGAAACGAATAAAAAAATCTGAATAATTAAAGTATGAATGAAGTATTAAAATATTATAAGTAATTATATTAAATTAAAAATAAATAATTTAAATCAGAAATCTATGTCAGTGAAAAAACGATTGATTAAAAGTAGAAGCTGGAAATTTACCAAGTGGCTGCGGAACGGATGGATAGGGAACGATTTGATTAGAAGAGAAACAGGGTTGAGGCGGCAAATGGAAAGTGGTTATGATAAATAGAGAATAAGACAGAGAAATAGGTAAAGAAAAGAAAGAGAGGAATAGAAAACAAGGAAATGGAAAGAGAGATATAGAAATAAGAGAAGAGAAAGAGAGACATAAACAAGAATTGGAAGAGAAAAATATAAAAAAAGATTTAGCAGAAAAAGAGAAATAGAAAAAGAGAGAACGTGATGAAGAGTGAAAAAGAGAACAGAAAGTGAGAACAGGAAGAGAAGAATAGAGAGAGAACAGGAAGAGAGGAAGAAAGAGAGAGAACATGAAGAGGGGAAGAAAGAGAGAGAACAGGGAGAGAGAGGACATGAAGAGAAAAAGAAAGAGTGAGAACAGGAAGAGAGGAAGAAAGAGAGACAACAGGAAGAGAAGAATAAAGAGAGAAAAGGAAGAGAGGAAGAATGAGAGAGAACCGGAAGAGAGGAAGAAAAAGAGAGAAAAGGAAGAGAGGGAGAATGAGAGAGAACCGGAAGAGAGGAAGAATGAGAGAGAACCGGAAGAGAAGAAGAAAGAGAGAGAAAAGGAGGAGAGGAAGAATGAGAGAGAACCTGAAGAGAGGAAGAAAGAGAGAGAACAGAAAGAGAAAAAGAAAGAGAACCGGAAGAGAGGAAGAAAGTGAGAGAACAGGAAGAGAGGAAGAGAGAGAACAGGAAGAGAGGAAGAGAGAGAACAGGATGAGTAGGAAAATAATTATGATGGAAATTAAAATAAAGAGAAAAGAAATATTGAAGCGATTCTTTAATCAGAATGCTGATAATTTTTTTTTCTGCAAAAAAGAAGGAACTGTCAAAGGAGAATGCATAGCAACTGATCAAATCGTCGGAAGTGATGGTGATGGACGAAGGGAGGGCTGATTTCATGTGTGTATGAGAAAAAGATGGATAAAAGAAAATGAATATATATCCGTATTTAAAGACACTGAGAAATCAGAGAATCAGTAAAGTTCGGGTGTAAAAGAGATTAAACGGCAGCAGAAGGGGAAGGGGTATGCGTAGAATCGTGGGAAATTGAAAAAGCACAGTTTTTCAACTTTGTCAAAAACACACTTTGTGTACATGGAAGTCAGTTCTTTGGAAACGGTTAGAAGTAGGAAAAATGTACTCGTTGACAATGTTTCAGATCAGAAGGTGTGTGTGCAACATTGAGAAAAGATAAGATCTCTTGAATAAAGATTTACAAATGGTTTGAAAAATTCTGATATCGTAAAATGATTAGAGCGATAAGGAATCAGTTTTAATATATTCAAGATATTTAAAATCATATAGAATATGCATATCTAATTGCAATAATTAGACGATTAGCGAAATTGGTCAAGTTATAGAAAAAAATGAGATATAAACGAATATATAATGAGCCATGTAATTGAGAATAACTGTAATACAAAGAAAATTCAATAGAAAATATCTGTATATTTATTTTAATGGATGTCAGTTATCAGTTATCGCCTGTTAATTCCGCTCTTCAAGTTCTCCACTGCTTTAACCGGGTATTGAACTCACACTCCTTGGATCCTGTCACTGGATCTTACTAAAAGAAAAAAAAAACAGTGGATAAATGCGTTGGGTAGATCCAGTGACAGGACCCAAAGAGTGTGAGTTCAGTACCCGGTTAAGGCAGTGGAGAACTTAAGGGAAATTAACAGGAGATAACTGATAACTGACATCCATTAAACATGGCACGTGGAACTAGAACAGTATACGCTAGTGAGCGAAGTAAAGGGTTACGTTCAACATTCCAACCACCTGTAGAAGGCCGGAACGTACAACGGCCGAAACGTTGTAATAAATATGGTGACAAAGTTGAAGACAATAGTCCGAATAATGTAAATAATATAGATTTTCATTTTGTCCTTTTACAGATATACTTTTAGTTATATCTAAAAATTACTCACACACAAACAAATACACACTCATACTCACACACACACACACACACACGCACACACACACACACACATACATATATATATATATATAAGCATCTGTGTATGTATGTATCTATGTATGTGCGTGTCTGTATGTAGTTATTTGGTACGAGTGTGTGTATGTAAGTACGTTGATGCTGAAGGGCCGAAACGTTGTAATAAATATGGCGACAAAAATGAGGACAATTGTCCGAATAATGTAAATAATGTATATAATATCTCATCTCAGAAATATAGACAAATACCGATTTTTTTTCAAATAATACTGGCCTGATAGTGACTGCGCGTTTGAATTTTTTAGTTCCTGACCAAAGCATTGGTATTCCAAGAATTTCAACAACAATAACCAAATAGAGTGTGATTTCACATTTTGTTCTTGATTGCCAGGATATAATAGTCGAGTTATACAAATCAGTACACCTGGCTGGCCCCATGTTAAGGTCGACAGAAAAATTCTTAGCTGCCTTCTTCCATGATATGTAAGCCAGGTGACAGAGGCAAATCCTGTTGGCATTGCAATTAAAGCTACTTTAAACTGACCTTGTGTCACATTCAGTAGTGACGTGTGCGTACTGAAAAAAAAACCTGTTGGAGCAAATAGCGTTGTTGCCTAAATCAAGGTCTATTGAGTCTAGTACGACAATTTAGGTCGTTTTGGTTACAACAGTAAACTATATTTGGCAGTAAGGCTTCTGATCGGGAGGTTTTAAGGAGCGCAGAACTATCTTTTAATTACTGTTGTTACCAGGTCCACCCTGACTCGGGGTGCTAGCACATGTTAGGGTCCCAACTATGGGAAGATAATGAACGCCCAAATTAGGGTCAAAACATGAAAATATAAAAATACACTAGAAAAAATTACCAGCAATAAATTTTCATAAGAAAAAAATACCAAAAATACATTTTTGGAAAATATACCAAAATTCACAAGAAAATAAAATTTCGGCATTAAGTGACCCATAAGAAGTTAATATACTGTTAAACAAACCAAACCAAATCATCGATTTAGGAGGTGAGATTTTCCCCGAGAACCCGGAATAACATCACATTGTTTTCGATTGGTTTGTTTTGTTTTATTTTACGGCATATCAACACGTAAATGGGTTATAAATGCTGACAACATTTATATGGCTGCTAATATTTTTTTGCAAAAAATATATTGCTTGAAATATTTTTTTCCAAATATGTATTATTGGTAATAATTTTTTCTTGAAAAATTCATTGATGGTAATAATATTTCCCCAAAATATATTGCTCGTATTAGAAATTATTTTTACTCTTTCATAGTGTTTTCCCTCCAGTTTGGGGGTTAAATATTTTCCCATACTTGGCACCCCTAATAGGTGCTACTACCCTGGTCATGATGGACCTGGGAACCCGCTCCTCAAAATCTCCTGATCAGAGATATTGCTGCCGGATATAGTTTATCGTCTTACTCAGGACGCGGACGTAGTTTATCGTCTTTACCCAGTCGACATGTTTTTCGTTAATTACAACCATTAAGACTACTACAAACGATACAGAATTCGTGCACATCTCGTCGTGTACTACCGACTTCCTTGCTCCTCATGTTTACTCGTACTGATGGTTGGAGTCAAGAATAATCCGACTGCATCTACGTGCGAAAGGGTAACACTCACAAAAAAGGGTCACTAGTTAAATACATTTATATCTACTAATGTTGACTGTCAAACAAACTAAACCTATATCTACCTTTTTAACTCTCGTGCAAACCAAACATGTCTTTTTGAATCTCCCGTGAACAAAATCCATGTTTATCATTCTCATTTTTGTCTCAAATAAAACTTAACGTCAACCTTTTGTGTATTGTTCAAACCAAGACTATGTCTACATCTTTACCTCTGCAAACGATACAAATATCTGCCTTTTGATTCTCATCAAAATCAAAACCATGTCTACTGGTTTGACTCTCATGTAAACCAAACGTGTGCCTACCTATTTTTTTTAACCCCGTGCTCGATAAATCTGTTTGTTTTTACTCCCACCTAAACCAAACCTTTGTCTAATCTTGTGACTATTGTGAAAGCCAAATTGATGTCTAAAATTCTATTTTTATAAAAACGACAAAATTCAGCATTATTATTGGAATATTAATTTGCCGTAAAACAATTCAAAGTAAAACTACTCTTCACGTAACCACTTTAAAGAATATATCAACATCTGAGTCGTTGTGGTTGACCAAGAGTGCCTGTGGGTACCTTTACAACGCTTACTTGAAATTTTGGCACATTATATAAGACGTTGCAGAAAATTTCTCGACATGAGCCAAAATAGTTAAGCTACAGCCCTCGCATACTCATTATGTATTTCAATTGCCTTGGATTAATGTTTTTCAAGTTGTTTTCTTTTTACATCTCTTCCAAGATTCTAAAGCTTGGTCAGCGATGGTGATTTTCTAAGCGAAGTATAAGGTACTCAGTGAGGATAGAAAACTCACTCAGTTATGTAGTTCATTTCTGTTGCTATAAGCTCGATTATTTCCTCACATTCAATCTGGATTTAATCTCTGTTAAAGGGGAAATATATGCGGTAAGATCTGATGATTAGGGTCCCTTGTTTACAAACTCAAAGATGAAATTCTTTAAAATATCCATTGTTTTGCCGATCGTATGTGCAGGTTCTTTTTCCAACAAACAGACAATCCATTCCTGCAACTTGTTTTTTCTTGAAATTCTCTTTAAATCACGACAGTGTTTTACCCATATTGTGAAATAACTGCTTGGCCCATCTGAAGATATTCAATCCACAAAATCAATTTCAGTATCTGTCTATATTTCTGAGATGAGGTATTATGTTCACTATTTACATTATTCGGACTATTGTCGCCATATTTATTACAATGTTTCGGCCGTTGTACGCTTCGGCCTTCTTCAGGTGTTTGGAATGTCAAACTGAACCATTTATTTCGCTCACTAGTGTAGACTGTTCTAGTTGCACGTGCCATGTTTTTAATGGATGTCAGTTATCAGTTATCTCCTGTTAATTCCCCTCTCCAAGTTCTCCACTGCCTTAAATGGGTATTGAACTCACACTCTTTGGGTCCTGTCACTGGATCTACCCAACGCCTTTATCCACTGCGCCATGTGTCCTATTCCAGAAACCGTTTAAATTGTCTTTTCTAATGACTTTTGGATCCGGAATATCTGCAGCTTTTGAGTAACCTATTGCTACAACTGCATGGACATTTTTACTAATGGTATTCACCCTGCATAAGGACCAAGAGCCTCTCGATGTAGAGGGTTACAGAGTAAGAGGTACCATCCGAAGCAAGGCGATAATGATAGCAAAATGCAAGAGGACACCAGAAGTGAATAAGAAGGATAAGGTTTCACTAGGGGTTTAGAAGGAGAACCAATGCTAAATAAATAGCAACGGATAACCCCCTACTCCTGTTCAAAAAGAGTAGGGAGGAGAAAGAAACGGTCTATAGCCAAACCTATCCAATGTTTGTGTCTAGATTATGCACGTATAACAAGGTTCTAACAGCAGGGACAATTCATCCCCCTTCGAATGCTATCACTTGATTACTGAAAATGCTGCAAAATCAACTGGATGAAACGCACTAATTTGACATCTTCTGCCTAACCAACTGACCTTGAATGATAAAACCAACGCATTTCATAGATGCTGCTAGACTCACGGGAATTCGTTTGGTGACTAGTCCAATTTAGGTCATGAATATGACCAATAATTTTAGGAGTTGACACTATGGAATTCCTCCTAGATTGTGCTGTATCTGACGTCTCAAAATCTTCATACTAGACGAAGGCAAACGGACATCGCAGGTAACAGGTATTCATCATTTATTTTATCCTAGACTCGTTTACTTTAGAATTGTCTTTTGCAGGTCGAGAAAATTCGTGGGAGTTCAATATTAGAACGCTGCCCACTTTCTGTTGATATGAAGTTATGAAA